CTACAAAAGCAATATATATATATATATATATATATATATATATATATATATATATATATATATATATATATATATATTAAAATGGACAAAGTCCGGCAAATTATTTAAGACATTTTTTTATGTTTATACGTTCTTTTTATAGATACAAATATTTAAGTAAATGCTCTGTTTATAATAATTTGTTTACATTTGGATACGCATTGAGCAGATATGAATGAATGAGTGAAAATCATGGAGAATTGTGTTTAAAAACAGTAAAATCGACCTTGCTAAACAAACGCTCCTCTGTGGCTCAGTTAAGCCAGGTCACGCTATATGACGGTTTCGTATAGGATACAGGTTCAATTCCTGTTGGAGGACGCGTATTTTCTATGAAAATTTCTAGGACATTCAGGTCGGTAAATGTTGTTAATACTGTTTAACATAAACAGAGCATTTACTTAAATATTTGTATCTATAAAAAGAACGTATAAACATAAAAAATGTCTTATATATATATATATATATATTAGATAGATAGATTTTTCCAGATGCATATTTGTACATGTATTATGTATGAATATATATATTAGATAGATAGATTTTTCCAGATGCCTATTTGTACATGTATGAATATATATGAAATATATATATATATATATATATATTAGATAGATAGACAGATTTTCCAGATGCCTATTTGTACATGTATTATGTATGAATATATATATATATATATTAGATAGATAGATTTTTCCAGATGCATATTTCTACATGTATTATGTATGAATATATATATATATATATATATATATATATATATATATATGTGTGTGTGTGTGTGTGTGTGTGTGAATGTGAATATTTGCTATTACTGATTTTTAAGATAATAACTGAAAGCGAATCCCAGATGTAATGAAAGACCATCTGCCTTTGCCAGTTAGCCTTGACTGTGCTTGTGGGCGTTTTACTCAAAGAGATATTCGCACAGAGTCGAGATGTTCCGAACAGTTAAAAGGGGGTGGGAGTCGGATGCATTTGGGGTGACAGGATGACTGTACGTGGGTGGTCTGTTCATATGCATTTCCACTGTCATTTCGTCCACAACTGATTCCGTCTTCTTTTTTTTATAAAAATTCTATTAAGTTACACATTGTATTTCGCTGTCAGGGCGGAGAGATCTCGTGGCATATTTGCCTGTTCATAGATTTCTGGGTCAGTTTCATTGGTAATATCTTTTCTGTCACTCAAGCGTGCAGTTATTTACAAAGTTTAGCATAGTCTGGTACAAGGCTACAGTATTTTAGTCCTGGGTATGACGATAAACTACATCCATCAGCAAGACTACTGATCGGGAGGTTGGAGGTTTTGAGGAGCGAGGAACTACCCGTTAATTGCTGTTGTTCCCAGGTTCACCCTGACCCGGGGTGGTAGCACCTGTTAGGGTCCCAGCTATGGGAAAATAGTGAACCCCCAAACAAAAATAATATTTTACAAAATATAAAAATACATTTTTATATAAAACAAATTACCAACAGTACCTATTTATAGTAGAATTTCCAACAATACATTTTATAACAAAATGACCAACAATACGTTTTATAACAAAGTGACGCATTTTATCTGTAGTTGAAGGCATCAAAATATTTTGATTGTATTTCGGCATTAAATGACCCATAAAGAGTTGATGTGCCGTTAAACAAACAAATCAATCAATCGAGCGACACTATTTGATGACACTGACAAATTCGTCTATGAGACGCAACAAACGTTCTAATCTTAGGGTCATATTCTGGATAGTGGTAGATTTGAGAGTACGAAACAAATAGCTTTTTTATCTAGGTTTCGTCCAATGTGGACTTTTCCTAGTTTTTGTCCAATGTGGACTTTTTCTAGATTTTGTCCAATGTGGACTTTTTCTAGATTTTGTCCAATGTGGACTTTTTCTAGATTTTGTCCAATGTGGACTTTTTCGAGGCAAAAAAACGAAAAATTTCAGGTTTTTTTTTTTCCTGAAAAAGTCCACATTGGACGAAACGTGTCGTCTAAAACTACATACAGTTTGCCTATTGTCTTTTTCCTTTATATATATATATATATATATATATATATATATATATATATACTTATTTATCGCTAGGCTCTTTAGTGCATTTAGGTAACCCAGTTGTAATGTATTTTCGTTATTGGTGTTTACAGTAGTAGTGATTATGCCTTTGGTGAACTTGGAATCGTTATGCGTGTGATTTTTTATTATAGTGTCTACTATATCTCTTTGTGGATTCTGGTTGCAAAATTATTATTATTATTTCCTTTGATTTATTTTGTATACACATTCCCTTCCGGGTCCAAACCAGAGACCTAAGATCAGATATGACTTCATGAAATTTAGCCTTGATCAGTTTTGTTAAAAAAAACCCCTAAGATGACACATTTCGCATAGATAAAGCTCTACGTATTGTCTAAGCTGGACATGTGAGTACAATTTTTTTGTATTTCTTTAAGGCATGTGCTACCATGAATCTCTTCAGTGAGTTTATCAGAACATTTTCCAATCAATCCAAGGGCTCCAACTACGACTGGAATTATTGATGTCCTCATGTGTCACTTTTTTAAAAATTTCTACTCCAAGATCATTGTTCTTTGATAGCCTTTAAAGATCCTCCAAGAAAGATTACAATCTGTAGGGACTTTCATGTCAAAAAGAAAGTACATTCTCTTTTTGCAGTCTTTCATCACAATGTCTGGATGATTAACTTTGATTATTATGTCTGTGTGTAATGTAAAGTTCCATAAAATTGTATCAGGACCTGACTCTGTAACCTGGTCTGGGTGATGTTCCTACCAATTTCTTGCTATTTCCTTCCCGTAAAAGAGTCATATTTTCGAATCTTGGCCAACTCTAGCAGGCCGAGTTTTATACTCATTGGGTGCGAACACTGTGCAACCTGATGAAAATAGTCAATTGTTTCTGGATATTTATCAAAGAATCTGCATTTAGATTTAACACAGTTTTTCATTGTGTGTGCTTGGTAAATTCTAGTTAGCAAGAATTGGTCTCGTGATGCAAAATAAAACCTTCAGTTTCGAGAGATTTATAGAATTCTTCTTGTTTCAGTTCCTAATCTTTGATGACAAAATCTAGATTGTTTGAATGTAATTTGTTTGAATCTTACTTTTTGCACATTTATCTAATCCGAAATCTGTACCGATATCATGACTGAAACATTGTACAGTATTAATGATTTGCCACTTTACTCATTGTCAGTAGGTGTATTATGGTTTATTTGCACTTCTTCGCTCACTTTTGAAATTTCCTTTATTACTGAATAAAGTTTATTTCTTTCATTTTCTTTGAGATAGATCATCATCCCGTCTTCTCTAGAATCCATGTATCTTTGAAGACTGAGCGTTGCGGGTTTTGTAAGACAGTTCTATTTGAACTAATCCTCTACCTCCTTCGGATCTGGATACATGCAGACGATCAACATCAGTCTTAGGATGACGCATGCGGTGGCAAATCCAAGCTTTCTCGTTTTGACATCCATTCGATAATGTCAGCTATAGTCAAATAAAAGATGTTGAAACTACATTGTGTTTATGGCTGATATTCTGTTTTATGAATCAACTGTTTTTTAACCAGACGCACACGCCTGTCGTATTCTTTTCTTACTTTCTCCTTCATTTGGACATGCTGTATTCCATGTTCTTCGCTGACTTGAATGTTATTCATAGGCTTTAACTTGTTCCAGTTCTCTAATGTCGGTGACAAAATCTAGGATTTATTGAGTTGTTTCTGTAATTATCTTTTTCAGAATGTTACTTTTTAACATTTATCTAATGCGAAATTTATTTTCACCGATGTCATCGTTGAAAAAATTTTACAGTATTAAGGATACCACTCAACTCATTTTCGTCTTTGGCAAAATTTTTTACTCATCTATGTAAAATAGGTTTTGGTAAAAGATATTCTATTTTTTAATTTGTATCCCTGGTTATTAATTAGTTCATGTGAAAAGGTGATTAAGGACAGATGATAGAATGGAAGGGGTAACTCAGGGATTCTCCTTTTAGAAAGATTCCGCGTCGAATATTAAAAAATTTTGAAGTGGTATTCCCCCATTATTCTTTAGGTATAATGGAGTTTTCCACAGTTTTAGATATTGAAAAGGTGAAGGAGGCTATGACATGGGGCCTTCACTGATTCTGGAAAACTTTTGCCTTCTCCAATACTCAGAGGATTTTAATTTGAAGGAGATTGTTTTTTTTACTTCTTTGAAATTAATAAATGTCTCTCCTGAAATAGTCTCCCTTTTAAAACTAATAAATCTCTTCTATTGAAAAAGTTTCTCTATTGAAATTAATAAATGTCTCTCCTGAAAACGACTCTTTTAAAATAAATAAATGTCTCTCCTTTTAAATGTCTCTCTTTTGAAATTAATAAATGTCTCTACTGAAAAAGACACTTTTGAAATAAATAAATGTACCCCTAAAATGTCTCTTTTGAAATTGATAAATTCTCTACTGAAAAACTCCCTTTTTTTCGTAGTAAATGTTTTGACCTCCTTTCAAAAATGTCATGCTCTTATGAAATTAATTCAACCTATACAGTGACACGATTCTCAGTGGAACACAAGTCTTGCCAGGATTCATTATTGGCGGCCACTATCTTAACAACATAAAATATGCCGATACAAGTTTTGATAGAAGATACAGAAAGGTAACTTTAAAAAAATCCTTTGTCTAAGATAGTGAAGGAAAACGAAAAGAAATGGCGGCCTCTTAAATTTTTTTCCGGTGGACGGGGCCAACTAATATCAGTTATCCTTATTTTTGTTTGTTTTGATATTTTAGTTTTGTTTTGATAATTCATCCTCCCGTCTCATTGTATTTTCATCCATGGATTTTTGTGTATTGAATCCAACAACAAAATCATAACACATATAAAAAACTTTTCTTATAGTAAAAAACCAGTATAAGACCATGAAAATTTTCTGTTATCTGGTGCGTTTTGTAGGTCC